GGAGGGTGAGTGGTGGAGAGGCTGGGAGGATTTGTTGGTGGAGGGGCTTGGGTGGGTGAGTTGGTGGAGAGGCTTGGGAGTGTTGGTGGAGAGGTTTGGGGAGGGTGAGTTGGTGGAGAAAACTGGGAGGAGAGTTGGTGGAGAGGCTTGGGGAGGATGTGTTGTTGGAGCGGCTTGGGTGGGTGAAGCTGGTGGAGAGGCTTGGGAGGGTGAGTTGGTGGGAGGCTTGTGATGGGGAGTTGGTGGAGAAGCTTGGGAGGGTGAGTTGGTGGGAAGTTAAGGAGGGTGAGTTGGTGGAGAGGCTTATGAGGATGTGTTGGTGGAGAGGCTTGGGAGGTGTGTTGGGGAGAGGCATGGGAGGGTGTGTGGTGGGGGAGGCTGGGGGAGGGGGGGTGTATAGGAGAGTCTTGGGGAGGGTGAGTAGGTGGAAAGGCTTGGGAGGGTGTGTTGGAGGAGAGGGCTTGGGAGGGAGTGTTGGTGGAGAGACTTGAACGGGTGTGTTGGTGGAGTGGCTGGGGAGGGTGCTTGGTGGAGGGCTTGGGAGGGTGAGTTGGTGGAGAGGCAAAAGGAGGGTGTGTTGGTGGAAAGGCTTGGGGGGTGTGTTGGTGGAGAGGCTTTGGAGGGTAAGTTGGTGGAGATACTTGGGAGGGTGTGTTCGTGGAGAGGCTTGGGAGGATGTGTTGGGGGAGAGGTTTGGGGAGGATGAAATTGGTGGGGGAGGCTTGGAGGGTGAGTTTGTGGACAGGCTTGAGAAAGTGTGTTGGTGGACAGGCTTAAGAGGGTTAGTTGGTGGAGTCTTGGGAGGGTGAGTTGGTGGAGAGGCTTGCCAGGGTGAGTTGGTGCAGAGGCTTGGAAGGGTCAGTTGGTGGAGAGGCTTTGGAGGGTGTGCTGGTGGAGAGACTTGGGAAGGTGAGTTGGTGGAGAGGCTTGGGAAGGTATGTTGGTGGAGAGGCTTGGGAGGGTGTCCTGCAGGAGAGGATTGGGAGGGTGAGTTGGTGCATAGCCTTTGGAGGGTGAGTTGGTGGAGAGGCTTTGGAGGGTGTTCTGGTGGAGAGGCTTGGAAGGTGTCCTGGTGGAGAGGCTTGGAAGGGGGAGTTCGTGGAGAGGCTTGGGCGCGTGTGTTGGTGGAGAGGCTTGGGAGAGTGTGCTGCTGGAGAGGCTTCGGATGGTCAGTTGGTCGAGAGGCTTGCGAGGGTGTGCTGGTGGAGAGGCTTGGGAGGGTGAGTTGGTGTAGAGGCTTGGCAGGGTGTGCCGGTGGAGAGGCTTGGGAAGGTGAGTTGGTGGAGAGGTTTGGGAGGGTGCGTTGGTGGAGAGGATTGCAGGGTGTGCTGGTGAAGAGGCTTGGCAGGGTGTGCTGGTGGAGAGGCTTGGGAGGGTGAGTTGGTGGAGAGGTTTGGCAGGGTGTGCTGGTGGAGAGGCTTCGGAGGGTGAGTTCGTGGGAGGGTTTGGGGGGGTGCGTTGATGAAGAGGCTTGGGAGGGTGTGTTAGTGGAGAGGCTTGGAGGGTGAGTTGGTGGAGAGGCTTGAAAAGGTGTGTTGAGGGAGAGGCTTGGGAGGTTGTTTGATGGAGAGGCTTGGGAGAGTGTGCTGGTGGAGAGGCTTGGGAGGGTGAGTTGGTGGAGAGGCTTGGAGGGGGAGTTGGTGGAGAAGCTTGGGAGGGTGAGTTGGTGGAGAACCCTAAAGGAGTGAGTTGGTGGAGAGGCTTGGGAGAATGTTTTTGGTGGAGAGGCTTTGCAGGATGTGTTGGTGGAGAGGCATGGGAGGATGTGTTGGTGGAGAGGCTTGGTAGGATGTGTTGAAGGAGAGGCTTGGGAGAGTGTGCTTGTGGAGAGGCTTGGGAGGGTGAGTTGGTGGAGAAGCTTGGGAGGGTGAGTTGGTGGAGAAGCTAAGGAGGGTGAGTTGGTGGAGAGGCCTGGGAGGATGTGTTGGTGGAGAGGCTTTGCAGGATGTGTTGGTGGAGAGGCTTGGGAGGATGTGTGTGTGGAGAGGCTTGGGAGGGTGTGTTGGTGGAGAGGCTCGCGAGGGTGTGCTGGTGGAGAGGCTTGAAAAGGTGTGTTGGTGGAGAGGCTTGGGTGGATGTGTTGGTGGAGAGGCTTTTCAGGATGTGTTGGTAGCGAGGCATGGGAGGGTGTGTTGGTGGAGAGGCTTGGGTGGATGTGTTGGTGGAGAGGCTTTTCAGGATGTGTTGGTAGCGAGGCATGGGAGGGTGTGTTGGTGGAGAGGCTTGGGAGGGTGTATGTGGAGAGTCTTGGGAGGGTGTGTAGGTGGAAAGGCTTGGGAGTGTGTGTGGGTGAAGAGGCTTGGGAGGGTGTGTTGGTCGAGAGGCTTGGGACGAGGGGTGTTGGTGCAGAGGTTTGGGGAGGGTGTGTTGGTGGAGGGGCTTTGGAAGGGAGTGTTAATGGAGAGGCTTAGGGTGGGTGTGTTGGTGGAGAGGTTTGGGAGGGCGAGTTGGTGGAGAGGCTTGGGAGGGTGTATTGGTGGAGAGGCTTGGGAGGGTGTGTTGGTGGAGAGGCTTGAAAGTGTGTGTTGGTGGAGAGGCTTGGGAGTGTGTGTTGGTGGGGTGGCTGGGGAGGGTGTGTTGGTGGAGGGGCTTGGGAGGGTGAGTTGGTGGAGAGGCTTGGGAGGATGTGTTGGTGGAAAGGCTTGGGGGGGTGTGCTTGTGGAGAGGCTTTGGGAGGGTGTGTTGGTGGAGAGGATTGGGAGGGTGTGCTGGTGGATAGGCTTGGGAGGGTGTGTTGGTGGAGAGGCTTGGGAGGGTGAGTTGGTGGAGAAGCTAAGGAGGGTGAGTTGGTGGAGAGGCTTGGGAGGATGTGTTGGTGGAGAGGCTTTTCAGGATGTGTTGGTAGAGAGGCATGGGAGGGTGTGTTGGTGGAGGGGCTTGGGAGGGTGTGTATGTGGAGAGTCTTGGGAGGGTGTGTAGCTGGAAAGGCTTGGGAGTGTGTGTTGGTGAAGAGGCTTGGGAGGGTGTGTTGGTCGAGAGGTTTGGGACGAGAGTGTTAATGGAGGGCTTGGGTGGGTGTGGTTGGGTGGAGAGGCTTGGGAGGGTGTGTTGGTGGAGAGGCTTGGGAGGGTGTGTTGGTGGAGAGGCTTGGGAGGGTGATGTTGGTGGAGAGGCTTGGGAGGGTGTGCTGGTGGAGAGGCTTGGGAGGGTGTGCTGGTGGAGAGGCTTGGGAGGGTGTTTGGTGGAAAAGGTTTGGGGAAAGGGGGGCTTTTTGGAGAGGCTTGGGAGGGTGTGTTGGTGGAGAGGAATTGGGGAGGGTGTGCTGGTGGATGGGGTTTTGGGAGGGGGTGTTGGTGGAGGGGGCTTGGGAGTGTGTGTTGGGGGAGAGGCTTGGGAGTGTGTTTTTGGTGGAGAGGCTTGGGGAGGGTGTGCTGGTGGAGAGGTTTGGGAGGGTGTGCTGGTGGAGAGGCTTGGGAGGGTGTGCTGGTGGAGAGGCTTGGGAGGGTGTGTTGGTGGAGAGGCTTGGGAGGGTGTGCTGGTGGAGAGGCTTGGGAGGGTGTGTTGGTGGAGAGGCTTGGGAGGGTGTGTTGGTGGAGAGGCTTGGGAGGGTGTGTTGGTGGAGAGGCTTGGGAGGGTGTGTTGGTGGAGAGGCTTGAGAAGGAGTGTTGGGCATATTGAAACATCGCGCAAGAAGCTGGAGGTATTCAGTGTGTTTAAGAACAAATAATCTTACTCACTTCTCGTCTGGAACTCACAACAGACGACAGGCAACACTTATAGTGACTGAATAATTGTGAATGTTTTTCCTTCGATTTAGTCACCCTGGTGGACGAAGACTGGTTAGTTAAAAACGTAATGTTTCAACACAGTTTTTGAACGTCTTATGGATGGATAGTTGGTTAATGGAGCTTAAAGGCTTTCGACTCCACTTGGGTCATTTTCACCATCACACAAGAATAATTCAGTCCTTGAAATACGGATTAAAACCGACTGTCAGCACTGATTCTCTAAGGAGAAATACGCACCTCAAGGTGTATAACCTCTCATGGCTTAGAAAGACACGTAAGCAAACACTATAACATATTTATTAGAAAACGTTTCGGTCCTGGGACCTTGATCACTTCTAAGTGATCACTAGAAGTGATCAAGGTCCCAGGACCGAAACGTTTTCTAATAAATATGTTATAGTGTTTACTTACGTGTCTTTCTAAACCAACTTGTCGGTATTTATTACCAAGATTTATACCATAACCTCTCATTTTTTTCTTTTTTTATTCGCCGGTATTCTCCCGGCCCGGGTGTTTTCCAAGTCGTGGTGACCCGGCCTTGACTCCCTATCTGTGGAGTAGGTTTTATAGATTGACCTCTTAAAATTAATATTTATTTTTAATATTTTCGTCTGTAAAATGTGAAAATTTTTTATTACCTTTAGCTTTGTTTTTCATTTATTAATGATTTTCTTCATTTATTACAAAGGTGATTTTTTTCATGTGTGCTCCAGATCCCTTTTATTCGATTTACTATAATATTTGCAGTATTTTTCGTAACTCTTCAGTAATTATTAATTTGCATCTCAAACCTCACAACAAATTTACAAAATATATTTGAAAATATAATTATGAATAATTATATATTACTTTATTTCGTCCAAGATTATGTTTGGTAACTTGAGAATTCGTCTTGCGATGAGTTCTTAAACCTCTTAAGAACTCTTCAGAATACATTCAAAATGCTTGCTCTGACAGGTGTATTTCCATGCTCTTTGACTGGGGTGAGTTCCAGGTCCTATAACTCTTCAGAATGTTCGTATTCACCTCCTGGATACATTGAGTTGGAACTCTTGTCTCGAGAACCACAACCTCTCCGCCTAAGAACTTCCATGTACAATGGGCTGGAATTTTGACGGAAAACTTTCTCAGCTGCAGTAGAAACATCAAGTCTGTGGAGACTCCAGGCAGAAGACCAGCAACCTGGCTTCACATATCCTTAAGTGATCGGTACCTGATCACGAACTGGGACTATAGTATTAATCTATATTACTCTTATAGGAGGAAACTAACCTTTGTGATAGTTTCTGCAGGAAGGGATGGGGTCCTGGAGAGAATGGCAGCAGAATGGCGATGTGCCAAGCTTGTTATCTGCTGACAGTCGTAGACGGCAGCATACGTCTTTCCATCAATATCAAACACAATGTAGTCTGATTTGCCTGCAATATCTTGTTAAGACAAGTAAATACATACGTGTTAATACAAGTGTGGAGGTTACCAAGGATTATATATATATATATATATATATATATATATATAAAATATATATATATATATATATATATATATATATATATATATATATATATGCAAAACAACCACTGTGAAAGAGTAGTGAAATTCCAAGCGCTTCGTGACTACTCACACTGAGTAGTCACGAAAGCGCTTTGAATTTCGCTACTCTTTCACAGTGGTAATTTTGCATATTTTAAAATCACCTGTTTACTGTGATCTTATTGCATTTTATATATATATATATATATATATATATATATAATAAATATATATATATATATATATATATATATATAAATATATATTATATATATATATATATATATTTATATATATATATATATATATATATATATATATATATAATATATATATATATATATATTATAGTACCCACGGAACAAGTGGTATTGATCAATAACAACACTGCACTAGCCAAGGAGTTGAACCCATGCTGTTCTGGACGCCTCATGGTGAGAGAAAACATATGACGCTTTAGGCCATTACTTGAGCTCTTGAGCTAGTACACAAACAGGGAGTACAATGAAATTAGCTCAGAGGCGTCCACACCACTGTATATCATTGTGTGGTCTAGTGGTCTAAAGAGTCATGCGTTTTTTCTCACCATGAGGCGGGCCAATACAGCACGGGTTCGACTCCTTGGCTAGTGCAGTGTTGATATATATATATATATATATATATATATATATATATATATATATATATATATATATATATATATATATATTATTAACCACAAGCAAATGGTATTTAATCAATAACAAACTGCGGCTAGCCAGGGGATCGAACCCGTGTTGTTTTAGCCCGCCTCGTGGGAAGAGGGAAACTTCACGACGTTCTAAACCATTGGAAAATACACTCCTACAAACAACATTAGCTGAGGCAACCACACCATCTTATGACTCGCAACGTGAAGCAAGCCTAGTTTGCTAGGCTCATGTTGGTTGTACGATAGCCTGGTCCCGTGGTTTAGAGCGCCGTGAATTTTCGCTCTCTTCCCACGAGGAGGGTTAAAACAACACGGGTTCGATCCCCCAGCTAGCCGCAGTTTGTTATTGATATATATATATATATATATATATAATATATATATATATATATATATATATATATATGTGTGTGTGTGTGTGTGTCTGTGTGTGTGTGTCGTGTCGAATAGGTAAAATTGGTCATTTAGCAAGAACTCATTTAAAATTAAGTTCATTCTCAAAAAATTCTTTTATGTTTAATTTTTTTTTTCATTTATGATAATGTAGATATTAATAATTTTGTACGAAAAGCAACTTAGAAAACTTACCTAACCTTATTAAAACAAGCGCAATTTAATTTAGCCTAATCCAGGTTAATATAATTTAGATAAGTTTAGAATAATTTAATGATAAACAAACACAATGAAATATATTTTTTCCATTAGGTTCAGAATGATTTTTGAGAAATTATTGCATACACAAATTTTCGCTTTCCATATTCGGCAAGACGAAGCACCGGCCGTATCCCTCCGAGGCAGGGTGGCCCAAAAACAAAAACTAAAGCCTTTCTTTTTTAACTTTAGTAACGTATACAGGAGAAGGGGTTACTAGCCCCATGCTCCTGGCATGTTAGTAGCCTCTCATGACCCGCATGTTAGTACCCTCTCATGACCCGCATGTTAGTAGCCTCTCATGACCCGCATGTTAGTAGCCTCTCATGACCCGCATGTTAGTAGCCTCTCATGACACGCATGTTAGTAGCCTCTCATGACCCGCATGTTAGTAGCCTCTCATGACCAGCATGTTAGTAGCCTCTCATGACATGCATGTTAGTAGCCTCTCATGACCCGCATGTTAGTAGCCTCTCATGACCCGCATGTTAGTAGCCTCTCATGACACGCATGTTAGTAGCCTCTCATGACCCGCATGTTAGTAGCCTCTCATGACCCGCATGTTAGTAGCCTCTCATGACCCGCATGTTAGTAGCCTCTCATGACCCGCATGTTAGTAGCCTCTCATGACCCGCATGTTAGTAGCTTCTCATGACCCGCATGTTAGTAGCCTCTCATGACCCGCATGTTAGTAGCCTCTCATGACCCGCATGTTAGTAGCTTCTCATGACCCGCATGTTAGTAGCCTCTCATGACCCGCATGTTAGTAGCCTCTCATGACCCGCATGTTAGTAGCCTCTCATGACCCGCATGTTAGTAGCCTCTCATGGCCCGCATGTTAGTAGCCTCTCATGACCCGCATGTTAGTAGCCTCTCATGACCCGCATGTTAGTAGCCTCTCATGACACGCATGTTAGTAGCCTCTCATGACCCGCATGTTAGTAGCCTCTCATGACCCGCATGTTAGTAGCCTCTCATGACACGCATGTTAGTAGCCTCTCATGACCCGCATGTTAGTAGCCTCTCATGACCCGCATGTTAGTAGCCTCTCATGACACACATGTTAGTATCCTCTCATGACCCGCATGTTAGTAGCCTCTCATGACACGCATGTTAGTAGCCTCTCATGGCCCGCATGTTAGTAGCCTCTCATGACACGCATGTTAGTAGCCTCTCATGACCCGCATGTTAGTAGCCTCTCATGACCCGCATGTTAGTAGCCTCTCATGACACGCATGTTAGTAGCCTCTCATGGCCCGCATGTTAGTAGCCTCTCATGACACGCATGTTAGTAGCCTCTCATGACCCGCATGTTAGTAGCCTCTCATGGCCCGCATGTTAGTAGCCTCTCATGACCCGCATGTTAGTAGCCTCTCATGACCCGCATGTTAGTAGCCTCTCATGACACGCATGTTAGTAGCCTCTCATGGCCCGCATGTTAGTAGCCTCTCATGACACGCATGTTAGTAGCCTCTCATGACCCGCATGTTAGTAGCTTCTCATGACACGCATGTTAGTAGCCTCTCATGGCCCGCATGTTAGTAGCCTCTCATGACACGCATGTTAGTAGCCTCTCATGGCCCGTATGTTAGTAGCCTCTCATGACACGCATGTTAGTAGCCTCTCATGACCCGCATGTTAGTAGCTTCTCATGACACGCATGTTAGTAGCCTCTCATGACCAGCATGTTAGTAGCCTCTCATGACACGCATGTTAGTAGCCTCTCATGACACACATGTTAGTAGCCTCTCATGACACGCATGTTAGTAGCCTCTCATGACCTGCATGTTAGTAGCCTCTCATGACCCGCATGTTAGTAGCCTCTCATGACACACATGTTAGTAGCCTCTCATGACACGCATGTTAGTAGCCTCTCATGACACGCATGTTAGTAGCCTCTCATGACAGACATGTTAGTAGCTTCTCATGACCCGCATGTTAGTAGCCTCTCATGACCCGCATGTTAGTAGCCTCTCATGACACGCATGTTAGTAGCCTCTCATGACACGCATGTTAGTAGCCTCTCATGGCATGCATGTTAGTAGCCTCTCATGAGACGCATGTTAGTAGCCTCTCATGACACGCATGTTAGTAGCCTCTCATGACACGCGATGTGGAAATTTATTTGGTCCCTAAAGTTCCACAGGACAGATACGACTTACAAAGGGGTCCCAGCATAGCTGTAATGGGACGGCTGAGCTGGGTGGCCCTTAAACCCTCCCAAACAAACAGCATTCTCTCTAGTTGGCGGGGATTGTTGGTAAGCTTATTTAATTTATAGATTTACCCTTCAGGGAAGGAGTAGGTAGTTTTACTGGTAGTACACTAATATTAGGATCATTGAGGCAACTGTAGACAATAATAATGTAGACCTAAGACCTTAACATAAGTAGGAATAGGCCGATAATGTAGGCAAACACTAGGTTAAGTTAGCTAGGGAGAACTGGCAGCCCTAGCTTGAATTATGAGGCACGGGTCTCAAAGACACAATAGCGTCCTTCTTAAGACAGACACCAACTGGACAAGACGTGCCGTGATCAGCAGACGGCGCCCCCCACGTGTCTTCACATTTGAGACCTGGGGAAATCTGGTAGAGGCACCTTGATGTACCGTAGATGACCTCCGTCAGGCCCATACAGTAAGACAAGACCTCCACTTTATCTCGTAGATTTCTGGCCAGTGTCTGGGGAGATTGTGAGTGAGTTTGATCCGTGGGCCTGTGTTGCAGCTGGCAGAGCATGCCCAGTAAGTACCAGTGTCTCAAGGCAGTCTGGAAGCTAGTGTCCGTGTCTGCATAGTTATACTAGGGGATACATACCCTCTTGGATATAGGAATTTCTGAGGTGCAGGCAGGACACTAATAATGATTGAATATTGCAGGAATTAAGGCTCCCGGTTGCACGTGGTTTCTGAGGGGAAGTCCAGAGGGGCTAAGGCTAAGCTTAGGGAAGTTGAAGATCAGGATATATGCTGCAACACCAAGTAAGTTAGTCCTCTATATGCGCATGCAGGCGAGTTTCTTGCAACATCAATCATTTGTGAAAATCTGTCCTATAAGCCACTTGTGAGGCTGAGGTACCCACCTCAGAGCTCGGTGTCAACAGAGTTTGCCAGGGTAAGCGACTCACTTGGAGGCAGTCCACACAAATTTTCACATGCATGTTAGTAGCCTCTCATGACCCGCATATTAGTAGCCTCTCATGACCCGCATGTTAGTAGCCTCTCATGACCCGCATGTTAGTAGCCTCTCATGACACGCATGTTAGTAGCCTCTCATGACACGCATGTTAGTAGCCTCTCATGACCCGCATGTTAGTAGCCTCTCATGACACGCATGTTAGTAGCCTCTCATGACACGCATGTTAGTAGCCTCTCATGACACGCATGTTAGTAGCCTCTCATGACACGCATGTTAGTAGCCTCTCATGACACGCATGGCTTACGGAGGAAGAATTCTATTTCACTTCCCCATGGAGAAAACACTGTATATATATATTACTATAACGGTATATAATACTTAGGTATATTCATTGTTGAAACGTTTGGCTTGCTAAACTGGTTTCTTCAGTCAAATATCCTGACAGTTATAACACCAGTCCACCTTTGTTTTGGTAACAACTGTTTAGCATAACGTACTTCCACTAGTATGTGCTACTTATGTGTGACTTTATTATGTCTCTGGTGTTGTGCCTCTGTTTTAGACTCAGTGACTGACCACTTTCCATCAAGGCTGATGGACTCAACTTTAAATCTACCTCTACCATCTTCACTGTTATAATCGCCTGTATATAACAGAAGAAACCTATAGAACTAGCAAAACATTTCAATGATAAAGATTTTTAAGTGTTGTACACGCATCTTACTCAGTATTTTATGCCATTTATGATATAGAAGAAGAATGTCGTGACTGGCGGAGAGACTATAAACTAGGACTACAACACACGTAGCAAAGCCACATTTTTATTAGACGACGTTTCCCCCAAAAATGACATATTGAAGTTTTTACTGGTGGGTATGTGTATAGTCTTAGAAATGTTTTACTGAAACTAGAAAATGTACAAGTTTCGCTTACAGTCTAAAACTGACGTCATTTTGTTGAAAAAAAATATTTACGGGCTACTGATAGCAGGTATTTGAAGTGAAGGCAACAGTGCATGAGTATTCTGAATACAACCAATATATCTCCAATCAATAAATATTTACAAAATACTGAAGGGACTCACTCAATGGCCACTTAACTCGCATCCTTCCAGCATTGTCTCCGTCAGGGATGTCGAGGGTGCCAGTGTAGGAGTTGGTGTGCTCGATGCTGAGGCTGTCCAGTAGCACCAGTTGACGAGACTTTGTAACTTTGAGCTGAGTTGCAGACACACGGGTGTAGTTAAGAGTCAGGCAGGTGGAGGTGGTGTCGAACTGCTCCACAACATACCACTGGTTCAGAATCTGTTGAAGAAATATGTTAAAAAGGTAATTTATTTAATGAACAGTGAATAGTTTAAATATGAACAAGAGTCTGCCATAGAATAAACCCCATAGAATTAGCTTATTTATTTCCTGGCAAATATACATACCCCAGCCACGACTTTATTCCTTGAATGCGCCCTTGCCAGCCATACCTAGCCTTTTGTGTCTGGTCCGTCAGGAAATTCTTTGAGTCAAAATACACAATAAACGACCCAATACAATGATTAATTAAGAAACACAACAAATATGACCATTAGATCGCCAGTGAACGCTGAGGTTCTTATCGGTAAATGAGTATAATACAAATCTTCAGCAACATTGTTAGAACCGTCGATGAAGACCGTGAAGGAACTCAACCTATAAAACAAAATCACAGTGACTTAAGAAGTTACTAATGAAGAACTCAAATAACACTATTGTTTAAAGTTGTCCCTAAAAGTTTTTAAAAATGACTTGTTGATATTTAAGCCAAATTTGTCGAAAATTTTTCTAACTTAATGTTAAAAAAAAAGTAGTTTTTAGTGGATAGTTAAGCATCTTGACTGACTTAAATGATTTTAACATTGGTTAGTTTTGAATGTACTTCCTTTTTACAAAGTTCCAGTTGATTTTTACAAAGTTTCTTTTGAAGAACTTGTTAATTTAAAGATTTACCATGCCAGTTCTACTGCCCATTAAACTATAAACTTTGTATTGTGATGAAAAAAATTTGGTTTAATGACAGTTTTACACTAAAGTTTGGTATGGCAATGAAATCCACTCTCACTGCCTTAGTAATTTACACATGGAATTTTTTGAACAAGATTGCTTAACACAATTCTCCCAAATTAACCTAAGTATATAGATATATGAGATATTTTGTGCCTTAGCCTAAAAAAAAATAAAAATAATTTCCTGTTAGTTAAATAGTTTAGCTCATTCTATAAAAATTTTACTGTTGAGTTCGAAGAAAAAAACTCATAGCCTTTTCTAGACTTTTTATTATTAAGGACAATAATTTTAAAATTTAAATTTACAGAAAACCAACAAATGCTCTTCCTATGACACCTAAGGGAGGCCGGCACAAGACCGGCCGCGGGGGGTTGACCCGGGAAACCCTCTCTCCAGGTAAACTCCAGGTATTGTTCTTCACATCAAGATAGTTAAACTGTCGGTTTTCTCATCAATGTTTTTGAGAACTTGTGATATACTGTGTACCACTGTGATATACACTGTGTACAACTGTGATAAAACACTGTGTACCACGGGTGATATACACTTTTGTACCACTGTGATATACACTGTGTACCACTGTGATATACACTTTTGTACCACTGTGATATACACTGTGTACCACTGTGAATATACACTGTGTACCACTGTGATATACACTGTGTACCACTGTGATATACACTGTGTACCACTGTGATATACACTGTGTACCACTGTGATATACACTGTGTACCACTGTGACATACACTGTGTACCACTGTGATATACACTGTGTACCACTGTGATATACACCTGTGTACCACAGTGATATACACTGGTACCACTGTGATATACACTGTGTACCACTGTGATATACACTGGGGTACCACTGTGATATACACTGTGTACCACTGTGATATACACTGTGTACCACTTGTGATATACACTGTACCACGTGATATACACTGTGTACCACTGGTGATATACACTGTGTACCACTGGATATACACTGTGTACCACTGTGATATACATTGTGTACCACTGTGATATACACTGTGTACCACTGTGATTTTACATTGTGTACCACTGTGATATACACTGTGTACCACTGTGACATACACTGTGTACCACTGGATATACACTGTGTACCACTGTGATATACCCCTGTGTACCACAGTGATATACACTGTGTACCACTGTGATATACACTGTGTACCACTGTGATAAACACTGTGTACCACTGTGATATACACTTGTGTACCACTGTGTTTATACACTGTGTACCACTGTGATATACACGTACCACTGTGATATACACTGTGTACCACTGTGATAACACTGTGTACCACTGTGATATACACTGTGTACCACTGTGATATACATTGTGTTCCACTGTGATATACACTGTTGTACCACGGTGATATACATTGTGAACCACTGTGATATACACTGTGTACCACTGCGAAAATAAAACGGTGTACCACTGTGATATACACTGTGTACCACTGTGATATAAAACTGTGTACCACTGTGATATACACTGTGTACCACTGTGATATACACTGTGTAACCAATGTGATATACATTGTGTACCACTGTGATATACACTGTGTACCACTGTGATAATACACTGTGTACCACTGTGATATACATTGTGTACAACTGTGATATACACCCCTGTGTACCACTGTGATATACACTGTGTACCACTGTGTATACACTGTGTACCACTGTGATATAAAATGTGTACCACTGTGATATACACTGTGTACCACTGGATACACACTGTGTCCCACTGTGATATACCTGTGTACCACTGTGATATACACTGTGTACCACGTGATATACATTGTGAAACCACTGTGATATACACTGTGTACCACTGTGATATACACGTGTACCACTGGATATACACTGTGTACCACTGTGATATACAACTGTGGTACCACTGTGATATACATTGTTTACCACTGTGATATATACTGTGTCCCACTTTTGATATACATTGTGTACTACTGTGATATATACTGTGTACCACTGTGATATAAAACTGTGTACCACTGTGATATACACTGTGTACCACTGTGATATATAATGTGTACCACTGTGAAAAATATACTGTGTCCCCACTGTGATATACACGTGTACCACTGTGATATATACTGTGTACCACTGTGAATACACTGTGTACCACTGTGATATACACTGTGAAACTACTGTATATATACTGTGTACCCCCTGTGATATACATTGTGTACTACTGTGATATATACTGTGTACCACTGTGATAATATACGGGTGTACCACTGTGATATACCCCTGTGTACCACTGTGATTTACACTGTGTACCACTGTGATTTTATACTGTGTACCACTGTGATATATACTGTGTACCACTGTGATATATACTGTGTACCACTGTGATATATACTGTGTACCACTGTGATATACACTGTGTACCACTGTGATATATACTTTGAAACCACTGTGATATACACTGTGTACCACTGTGATATAACACTGTGTACCACATGTAAATACACTGTGTACCACTGTGTTTACACACTGTGTACCACTGTGATATACACTGTGTACCACTTTTGATATACACTGTGTACCACTGTGATATACACTGTGTACCACTGTGATATACACTGTGTACCACTGATATACACTCTGTACCACTGTACCACTGTGATACACACTGTGTACCACTGTGATATACACTGTGTACCACTGTGATATACACTGTGTACCTCTGTACCACTGTACCACTGTGATACACACTGTGTACCACTGTGATATACACTGTGTACCACTGTGATACACACTGTGTACCACTGTGATATACACTGTGTACCACTGTGATATACACTGGGGTACCACTGTGATATACACTGTGTACCACTGTGATATACAATGTGTACCACTGTGATACACACGTTGTACCACTGTGATAATACACTGAGTACCACTGTGATATACACTGTGTACCACTTTGATACACACTGTGTACCACTGTGATATACACTGTGTACCACTGTGATATACACTGTGTACCACTGTGATATACACTGTGTACCACTGTGATATACACTGTGTACCACTGTGATATACACTGTGTACCACTTTTGATTAACACTCTGTACCACTGTGATATACACTGTGTACCACTGTGATATACACGTGTACCACGTGATATACACCGTGTACCACTGTAAATATACACTGTTAACCACTGTGATATAACACTGTGTACCTCCTGTGATATACACTGTGTACCACTGTGATATACACTGTGTACTACTGTAAAATACAAGAGTACCACGGTGATATACACGTGTACCACTGTGATTACAATGTGTACCACTGTGATATACACTGTGTACCACTGTGATATACACTGTGTTACCACTGTCAATATACACTGAGTACCACTGTGATATACACTGTGTACCACGTAAATATACACTGTGTACCACTGTGATATACACAGTGTACCACTGTGAAAATACACTGTGTTACCACTGTGAAAATACACTGTGTACCACTGTGATATACACTGTGTACCACTGTCATATACACTGTGTACCACTGTCATATACACCGTGTACCACTGTGATATACACTGTGTACCACTGTCATATACACTGTGTACCACTGTCATATACACTGTGAAACCACTGTGATATACACGGGTGTACCACTGTCATATACACTGTGAAACCACTGTGATATACACTGTGAAACCACTGTCATATACACTGTGTACCACTGTCATATACACCGTGTACCACTGTGATATACACTGTGTACCCCTGTGTTATACACTGTGTACCACTGTGATATACACTGTGTACCACTGTGATATACACTGTGTACCACTGTCATATACACTGTGTACCACTGTGATATACACTGTGTACCACAGTCATATACACTGTGTACCACTGTGATATACACCGTGTACCACTGTGATATACACTGTGTACCACTGTGATTTACACTGTGAAACCACTGTGAAAATATACTGTGTACCACTGGATATACATTGTGTACTACTGTGATAATACTGTTGTACCCACTGTGATATATACTGTGTACCACTGTGATATACACTGTGTACCACTGTGATTTACACTGTGTACCACTGTGATATATACTGTGTACCACTGTGATATATACTGTGTACCACTGTGATATATACTGTGTACCACTGTGATATATACTGTGTACCACTGTGATATACACTGTGTACCACTGTGATATATACTGTGTACCACTGTGAT